AGTGTAGTTTAAGTAGCATGTGTTTGTGAAATGAAGAATTTATTTTAAATATTTATATTTATGGTGTTAACATTTTGAACTTTACTATCTCGACTAATTTTTTAGGGTTAAAATGGGGAGTTTGGGGGGCAATCGCCCCCTCCACTAACTAAATTTTAAGTAGCAAATGTTTATGAAATATATTTAAAAATAATTATATTTATTGCATTGACATTACGAACTTAACTAGACACGACTAGTATATATAAAACTCAGAGTTCGGTTCATGGAGTCGATTGCTTTCTAATGAGCTGAATCAGTGATTCAAAGTAACCGTGCCACCATAAACTGAGGATTTAACTTTTTTAAATTTGAAGAATTTCAAGTGAAAGCTGAGAAATCAAGACTGAGTAATGCTAGAGAATGAACGAATTTTATTACGTTCGACTTCTCTCTTTTACATTCTAAATCAGCAAATACCAATTTCAAATAAATGTGACCCACAACTTCTTATTAAACTGAACCTTATTAACATAAGCATACAAAACAGTCCTCTTTTAATGTTTATATAGATTTGCATACAAAAATATAATAGAGCAATTATAGAAGTAAAAGTGAACACAAATTAGTCTGCGCTTGTAAAGTTTTAATCTCATTAAAAATTAAGAGAGAAAAATTTGGAAGTGTTCAGCAAATCCGGGGAAGGATCAAATGTAGTTGTAAAAAGACGTTGCGACAGAATTATGTGCTAATGTGCTATGTGCAATTTTGTGCATATTAGCAAAAAAGCGTAAACAATGTAGCTGTACTAAATTCTAACTATTCGCATCATCAAAATCTGCAAGTATCTGTAACGGCGATTATCATTTTGAAATTGCAATATTACCAGTTCATATCCCGTATGGAGGTAACATGCGAGGTCAAACATTTAGTGTTAGGAACTTTTGAACGGGAGTATAATATTATCAGGTACTACGATTGATTGTTACGTGCAATGCAAGATACTGGAAGAACGAATTTGAACAAAGATAGGCATGAAAGAAATGAAATATTAAAACACATTTTCAACGCATGAAACTATTTTTAAAACAGTTTACAGGGCGGCAATGCCATATTTTACTAGTTATGAATATTTTGCAAAATTGCTAGCTTGAATTTTCCGCCCCAAATTTACATAAAAGTCAAGAGATATCAAGGCAAGATTACAAAGAGATATCAGGCCGCAATACAATGATGGAAAATCATAAATTATGTCTAATTGTTGGGCGATACTGTTTTTTGCTGTATGGAATGCAGTTTGGTATTGCCGAATTTGGTTTGTTTTGTGAATAATTTTAAAGGAATTCGTTTTTGCACCTTGTGCTACGAATTATTTTCATTCATATGCTCTCGTCAATTTTTGTAAATCAGTATTTTGATGCTTTCTATTTGCCCTATCGATGTGGCTTAAAACAGTGTGAAAAAAATTACTTCCCACGACGACAAACTACGTATATTTACGTATATGTTTTCGTTGCAAAAATGATTGATTTCTAATTGACATCATGTTTATCGATTATATTTTGTGAGTGTAAATATTTTTATTTTTAATTAACATTCAAGAAAACTTACCTTAAATCTTGAAGCTAGAAATATTGGGATAGGAAAACGATGGGTCTCATAATCAATGAAAACATCATACGTATTGTACTATTAATATTTGTATAATTTCGTATTAAATAAATTTATATAAGATATACGCACATATATGCATCCAATAATATATAATTTATAGTATATCTCCCTCCTAAGGGATTAAGAATAAATACTGAATCTGGGTCTGGGTCCGTGGCCGAGGTAGATGACACGCGAGCACGCTCGCAAAAGACAAGATGGCCGTGGTCACCCTCGCCCGCGATGCTGCGTAACGGTCGCCGTGGTCTCTGCACCATAAGACACATCTCGCATTTAACTATTCAATACACACACCTAGTTTCCTCTGCAAGTTTCGCAAATTTGTTTGAAATACAGAGTATTTGACAGCATGTTTGTGTTCTTTATCATATAAACTAAAATGCAATGGGGTAAAGAGGCGGAATCCGTATTTCAGGTATGATCTAACCTACTAATTTACCCTAAGTCGTTGTGTTACTGAAAATTAAAGTGATTAAAATAGTATGTTGTACTTTGGTTGCACGCCCAAATATTTGAAAAAAAAAATTTATTGTGCTATACAGTGATGAGATTTATAAATAGGCAATTTGGTTGCACAGAATTTATAACTATTCTATTATTATTTCATATTTCACTCAAGTTTTAATTATTAATATGTTCAATGGATTGTACTAGGGACAATAAAGTCAGGTCATTTTCGACGACCTTACTACTTACTCTCGCGTAGCTCGTCTCTCCTCTCTTCCTCATGGAATAGAGAAGGCAGAGAAGGGAAACGAGCAACTTAAATAAATTGTCACCGCTATAGCTGATTTGGGCAACGTAAATAAACCAATTTTATCCTTATTGAACGAAATATTGAATTAAAATTAAAATTTGAAGTAAAAACTTAGTGAGTACATCCCTTTAATCTTAAAATAACACGTTTATGTGAACGGATATTTTCCTGAATCGCAATTACGAACGTACGAGTATTAGACGTGATTTGAAGAATTTTGACTTTAACCAGTATTAATAATTTACAATTGTTTACTGGGCATATTGATGATAATTTGCAAAATTAAATTCTAAAGATACATAACACATTAATTTCTCTCGTATAGCGTTTACAGTGTTCATCTTTTAATTCTTTGCTTGCAAGACATTGGGCCTTTTAATGAATTCTATGACGAACATTAGATCTGCCTATTACTAATTACTATTTACACACAACCTTTATAGCGATCCCAATTTATATATTTAAAATTTTCGTTCTCCTTATTATAACGTAAACGAAACAGAACCAATGTTTTTTACATTATTTTTTACTTATTTAGACGTGTAACTGAAGTGAACTTTTGAGTGACATTCTGATATAATGAATTTAACACTAACAAAAAGTGAATATTGCAGTGAAGAAGCAATTAGGTTTACCCTGAGCTGTTTTTGTATTAAACAACTTCTGAATAAGCACTTTATTTATATGATCATAACAAAGTTTCAAAATTCCTCTTTAGTCAATCTTGTTTAAATTTTGAATCGTGAATGAAGGGTTTCAAAATTATTTCACAACCTAGCATAATATCAGCCATCAATTGTTAAATCAAATTATAATAAAAATGACGGCTTCAGAATTAAGAGTTCTGTGTTTTGATAACAGGAACTCGACAAAGTTGATGTCAATATCAACATTTCCGAACGAAATTTAATTTATGTCATCATGCAAACTTTTAAAAGATTTTATTTTACCGTACAATAATACTGTTCGATGAGACACTGCCAGTGTTGCAAAGCAGACAGTTGATGCTTATTATACATACGTGGATAAAGGATATGGGCTAAGATATTGTCTATAATATAGTATACTATGTAAATTGGAATTTACATCAAATCAATCATTAACTTTTCATATATGTCGCTTTTCTTTGATTAATCGCTAATACGCTAAGAAATTGATATTTATCACGACAAAATCATGATACTTGGCTCAATTTCATTACTCATTATTTCACAAAGTTATCAAAAATGTCCTACTGTGCTGGTATTTTCACCTTAGTCTAATAATACTTTTACAAATGATAATGAAATTATGCGATGGCCGTGCAAAAGCAACACGGAAGTATCGTTTTCGGTGCTAGTCCATGTTCCCTGTACAAGTGATTGTTAATACTCGAATGAAAATACTTGAAAGGTACAATGTAAAAGTTAAAAAATAATATGTATAAATTGTAAAATTTCAGACAATGTGTTCATGCAACAACATTGTAAGTTTGAACGAAATAGTGCAAAATTAATGAGACCTCATCTGAAAAGCCCCTGACAAAACGTAAGCAGTACTTCAAAGAACTGCACTTATAAAGACCCTTACCCGTACAGTTAACGCATATTTCATTTTCATTTTGTCATTCTATACTTTTCGCTACACATCGTAGACTAACGAATTTTTAAATACTTAACTCTTTCAACACAAGATAATATATTTTCCAAATACAAACAGTTTAGTCGAAGAATATTTGTACGCAGATATTTCTTGTATATTCTTTGTAGTTATCTAATGTATTATGCTAGGAGAATGATCCTAAATAATCAAGTCGATTGAAAAATAAATAAGTCAGAGAGTGACTTCCCTTAAACAATAAATATACACTAAAATATTGGACAAATTCAGTGAACTCAATTAATGTTCTTAACACTATTAATTTATGAACGATAAAAGTTTATCACATAGCATAAATATTCACCTAAAGCGGAATGTGTTGTAAACTAAACCTTTTTCTCATTTCTGTTACAAAAAGTAGATAGAGGTACCTTCGTACATCGTCTTAGACAACATACTCGGATTTGGGCGATAAAAGGGCACGGTCCCTGCTTAACTTAATAATAAATTTGTATTAAATTTCTACTTAACTTTCCTCATGTATATTATATTGCTTCAGAAATTATTTTCTTGATGTAGGTTTCTTTTCAATTTTAACGCAATTTAATTGTCAAAAAAGTCGACGCTCTCGTGGATTTTTATTCTTCATTACCTGTTAAGTTGTAATACGCGTGTTATAAGATTCGAAAAGCACGTGCATTACTATTATTCCTGACTGAACACTCAGAGGATTTGTCAGCACAATGTTTTCAAAAATCCATAAGTAGCTGTTTTGCCAACTGTTATACTGGTTGAATGAATGCTGTTCATCGACCTGATGGTATCGTTCGGCAACATGTACACTTCAGTTGGATCGTCACTTAAAACAGTCTCATTGAATCGTGAAGCGATGACGCGAGTTGTGCAAGCCATCCACGCATAAAAAAACAAACCGGCGAAACGACAAGATCCGCTCTGCCTGTTCCACCGCCGCCGCCGTCTTCCGCGCCGGGAGCGCCGCGCGCGCAGCCGGTCAGTTGCCCTGCTGCGTGAGCAGCTGCAGCAGGCGCGCGCGGCCCATGCTGCGCAGCGCCGCCAGGTCGACGCCCAGCGCCGCCGCCGCGCTGCGCATGTCCAGGCCGAACGCCTGCAGCAGCTCGGGCAGCTCCAGCTCCTGGCCCGTGAGCGGGTTGAGCAGGCGCGGGCACCACAGCGTGCACTGCGGCCACGAGCAGCGCTCCACGGCGCGCAGCGCGCATGCCCCCGCCCCCGCCCCCGGGGAGCGCCGCCGCCGGCGCCGGCGCCGCCGCGCCGCCGTCGCCGCCACCGCCGCCTTCGCCTCCGCGCGAGCACCTACGCGCACACGGGGGAGGAGGGGTTATAACTGTCATTAACGGCCGACAAACAGCGCTTGACAGTCGCGGTTGAAGTTTGTAAACCGAGGCGATAGCAGAGGTTTGTAATCAACTGACACTTTGTTTGCATTAACGATAGTGTGTTGTTTCGTAATGCGTCTCATTATAAGAAATTCTATGATAGTGTTTTTTAACATAAACACGAAATTCCATTTCATGGCAGAAGTGTACTTATACACCATCTTCAACTACACGTAATTTGATTCGATTATTCTTAACGGACTGATAAATTGATAAATTCTGATACATGAGCTTGTTGTATCCTCAAGCCCTTCAATTCTCTTATGTCAAATTGTAATAAGATGTCTTAAGATTGTTACGTATTTCATAAGTAACTACATAATTTTTGTATTCAAGAATTATAAATGACCTTATTCTGTTGCAAGAAGTCGTTCATAATCGAATCTGTGTGGATAAAGGTACAAATATCGTACAAGGTGTTATCCACTTTGTGGAAATTAAAATTTACATTTCTATATTCTTCTTAGGAAAGATGATCTTTTAGTAGTTAATTGGAGGCCATTGATTCTTATTAATGTTATGAGTACGTGGCAATGGGCAGCGCGCGCGGCTGGGTAGTGCGTACTTTTGGGAGAGGCCAGCCCCAGCCACTGGGCGAGGCGGAGTACTTTGCCTGGGTACAAAAGGGACCGCGGGCACTAGAGTGACATTGTAATTTGGAGAGTGACAACCAAAAGCTGTAGTCGCAAATTACGAGTGATTAGTATTGCGAACTGGATGTGGCCCTAGTTAATTCTACTGATGGAACTGATTCATCTGATGGTATATTGGTTACTGGTTTTTCGATATATGTATAAGCAGAAGATTAGGAAGTGTTTGGAACAGATTTGGATATAGAATATAAATATTTAACTTGTGACGCATTCTTTGGAATATTTGTGATGTAATAATTCTCATTACAACCTTGATTTTAGTTGCATACCTAAGGAGAACGCAACAAGCTTTAGTTTTGAGGAGAAGAGTGCAACAATAACTCGTATCCGTGTAATATTCCGTCACATTTAAACAGAATTATAAAATGATCATCGTACTTATAAATCGAGTATATAAGTTTGACGAACTTCAGAGGAAGGAACTGACAATTTACCCCTACGCCAATCCTTTCTAGTAATTTTAAGACAGTTCTTCAAGAAAATGAAGCATTTTAAGCGCTGAAAAGCGATATGGGATGATTTAACGCAGTACAGAGGTCATGAAAAAGCTCATTCGATTTCTCTCGTGAATACAGATCGATTGACATTAGTTTGAGCTGAATATTTGTAAAATGTTTAGAAAGAATTTTAGAAAACGTTTTCAGTGTTTCGAGGCATTTACGTTGGTGAAACGCTGGGAATTATTATATTGCCTTTCTGGCAGAACATGAATCGTCACGATTTGATTCATCAGTCAATACATGACAATAATAAACCATTACAATGAAATATACAATTTAAAAAATCGTTAGCTTTTACGTGACTTCGTATGCCTGAAGATAGACGAGCACAAGCGACGATGAAAATTGATAGGTTGATTATTATTGTGCCTGAAGAGAGACGAGCAGCATATCATGATAAAAATTTCTTTTTGTTATGAACTTACTTATCTCAAATAGAAATTTTTAACATGATTACCAGAGAGGCCAGAGGGGTGACGATAAGCTAGCACAAAATGAGTGCAGTGCATGTTATATTACAAGACGACGAGGTTTTCCTTCCGCCCTGAAACGTCAGTTCTTTCCAACTACACGTCCGCTTGCAAAGGGCACCTGCAGGTATCTCTTCTTGTGAGGCACTAGAGTATGAGCAAGATCTCTCCTACTGCACGTAAGAGTAAATGTCTGTAAGGAAGGGGCAAGGAAAGGGCAAGGAACAGGAAGAAAAGGTTGCTCGCGAACAATAGGCCGTTTGTTTCAGCATTCATCTGACATTGATCAAAAATACACAAAAAACAAACCAATCAGATCAGGCGGTCACAAGAATCCTCTTGCAGGCAGCGGTTACATTGGTCCCGGCAAAAAAGAAAGGAAGAAAAACCGAAAAAATAAAGACTGAAAAAAAAGACAAAGAAAGAAAAAGAGAGAAAGAAAAGAAAGAGAGAGAAATAGAAAGAGAAAAAGAATGAAAGAAAGAGAGGAAGAGAAAAGGAATGAACGAAAGAGAGAGAAAGAGAAAGAAAGAAAGAAAGAGAAAAAGGAAGAATAAAAAAGAAAGAAAGAAATATTACCCTTCCGCTTGCGGTGCCTGCCCCTGGCGCGGTGCTTGCGCCGGTGCCCCGCGCGCGGCCGCGCGAGGCGCGCCGTGGACGCGGCGGCCGCCGGCGCAGGCGGGCGCGGCCGCGGGGGCGGGGACGGGCGCCGGCCGTGGGACGCGCCGCCGCGGCGCCACGCAGCCCCGCGCAGGCTTGAGGGCGTGGGCGGCGGCGCGGGTGCGGGCGGCGGCGGCGCCGGCAGCTGCGACTCCCAGCAGCGCAGCGCCTGCGGCAGCGATAGCCCGCCCACGCGCACCGCCGTCCAGTCGGCGCGCGTCAGCACTGTGTGCGCCACACACGCCGGCGCGAACACGGCCCTGCAGCACAAGGGCGAACTATAAGAAACCATTTTATAGAGATCCACTTCAACTACCATAAAGTCGGAATAAATGATACAAACTTCTCTCGTGGAGGGGTAAAAAATGATTACTTTTTGCCAATGAACATACGGTGGGAAATCGCATGTAATACAGTTATGAACATTGATTTTTACTTCTAAATATTGGGGCAGTCGCATGTGCATAGATATTGGGCAGATACGTGAAGTGTCCTCAATATCGTCAGAATGTTACCTGCCGAACATCTGTGCGTAAATAGTTGCTTAAAATTTAGGGGAAAATGTAACATGTGTAACTCCGTTTTATGGCATTCCCCACTATATGTTAATTATCTAAATATATCATTTTTGACCCGTTTACGTGATCTACAAATTTGTAATATTTATTCTGAGGTATTCTGTATAATGCGCTAAGAATAGATGATTTGTGACGATTTATTAGACACAATAGGCACAAAACCCTGTAAGCGAACTAAATCTGGATAGTAAATTACTCCCCTACAAATTTAATACGAAAAAATAGAAGTTTTCAGATTAAGAAAAGCAAAAACGATTACTGCAAAACATATTATAATAGCACATAACTCGGAAGCGATTTCTCCTGGATTTTGGAGTGGTCAAAAGAATGGTATGTGGGGAAATGAAAGAAGTCATGTGGGGGACATGTGGAGCCCGAATTTGGTTTCTAAACATAATTCTACAAAACGAGACTTTTTGTACTTTCAATTACATTTTTAGAGATTTAGTTGTTTTGTATGCTCCCATTCAATAACGTGGTTGGTAAAAAGAGGGCAGAAACTTGATATCTTTGTTAATTTAAATGTGAACGTCAGTAATTTTCTTTCACGATAATCTTACAGAAACTGATTGATATTCTAATCAATTTAATTTCAACGCTGAGCAATATTAGAATGGTTACTCCCGAAACTACCAGTACGAAATTATTATGGTTAAGTCAGAATGCGTTGTTAAATTCTTCAGGAACGTCCGTTCAGGAGCAACCGTTGTTTATCAAATATTATGTTGTTAAAATTGTAATAAAACGTAAATATTTTATTATGTTGCAATTTTATTTGCGACATTTATTATTTATATTAATATAGATTATTTAGCCCTCATCTGCCTTTTTCTCATTATCTTTTTGCCGAGAATTACTGAACTGCTGTTAGCGCAGATTTTACTTAAGATTGCTGAGTGTTTACAGCCTCTTAAAGACTTGAACGGCGTGACAGCGCGACTGAGTGTAAGGGAGGCGAACGGGGTAAACGACGGCAATAAACGTTTTAAGGCTCATCGCGTGAAACGGCATTCGTGCTTCTCGATCATTTAAGCAGGCACTATACATGTGGGGCTTTGCGGGCGAATAATTATCGCCAAGGTCGTAGTGATTCAGGCGAAGGATTGTGGTGTGTGAGGAGAGACTTTTCTAGAAATAGAAGATACAGACATCAAAGAGTAATTTGAGTAAAACAAGAGGTAATATCTAAACACTGTAGACACTACTTCTGTGGTCAATTTTAAATGGTAGTGAAAGAGAGCTGCAACAGCTTTGATAAATATTCCTATACGATTAAAATAAACAATTGAAAATAAAATAGATTATTTTCATATTGCAATTTTCTGGTGCATTATTTACTACAGAATTTTTATAACATAGACATCATCGACCGTTGATATACAATGGAAGAACAATCTTAATTCATTCGAAATAACATTTTGTATTAGAATTGATTTTACCAACTTCACAGTTTGTTGATAATGAATAATTTGTTGTTCAAAAGGGCATAAAATAGCGAACTTGAAATACCATCCAGGAAGATGATACATCGTTTCCCATTGAACATCTAATACACTGATACATTGATCGATAAAAAGAAAACATATCAACAACTCGATTAAATATGCATGAAAATGGGTAAGCAAGCAATAACGTTTTTCCCCTTTCCTCGTGTTGAGTGCGTCAGTAGTGTTTTCGCGGTTAAAGCGCGCCGGCGCCGGTGAACTTGCGACGTGCACTCACGTGACGTTGAGCAGCGACTGGCGCAGCGCGTCGCCCGTGCGGTGCACGTGCTCCCACTGCTGGTGTGTGAGCGGCGCGCCCACGTTCTCCGCCGCCAGCTGCGCCTCGTCGAACAGCCACTGGAACACGAACACGGGCGCTGCCCCGTGCGCCCCTCCCGTCACATTCCCGCTCACTCCAGGGGCGCGGCGGGGTGGTGATTGAGTGCGAGGGCCAGGTTAGTAAGTGGGTGGGTCAGGTTATGGTTGAGTGGATGGACCAGGTTAGTAAGTGGGTGGGTCAGGTTATGGTTGAGTGGGTGGGTCAGGTTAGTAAGTGAGTGGGTCAGGTTAGTAAGTGGGTAGATGAGGTGAGTAAGTGAGTAGGTTATTGTTTCCTCCAATGTTTGATTGATTGATACGTATGAGCTCGTCAACTGCTACTATCATTAGTCCCATTAGTATAGTGAATGTCCCAGCGTGGGATGTAGAGGCGTTCGGTGTACTTTCCCCCGCTGGATGATGAGATCCGGCGCCGACTACTCGTCGACTTGTGAAGGGACATCCTCCTCTAGGTATCTGCACAAGCGGAGCACCCTTCTGTCGGGACAAGCTCGAACATCCCCATAGTCTCCCGACATGTGTGGTGCATATAAGTGTAAATGTGTGTAATTGTGGGGTGAGGATACTACTTGGAGAAGATAAGGAAAGATCGCGTGCGGTCCGTGGCCCGTTTGTTAGGGTACTGCTTTGCCATTTGCCTGCTGTTGATAAGAGAAACCACCGAAAACTCCTAATTAGAGCAGTCTCCGCTAAATTGCTCTTCCAGAAAGCGGTTATATCAGACCTTATTAAATAGCTAATTTCGAAACTTTGTCTACGTTGAACCCTAGGACTTCCCTGTCAGGTACAGGCAGCAGCAATGCTGGCTCTGAGCTAAACTCAGACAGTCCGGGCGCTTCAACTACTCCGGTCATTGAAACCGTAAGTGAAGTGCATGTTCAAGTGCGGAATGTGGCGGTGTTCCACGAGGGAATTAGATTCTAACCATCCACTTGCGGTGTTTTCCTTCTCCCCGTATCTCCCCTTTGGGGACCGCCCAGGTGAGCCAATCAACTTCCGACTAGGGTTAAACACGTATGGTAGTGTGGTGCATGTAAGTCCAAATGTGTATATAAAAGGAGACCAGGGGGCGAGGATGATGAAGAATAGGTCTCGTGTGGCTCAAGACCCATTTGTTAGGTTACTACTTCGGCACTTTGTTTGTTGGAGAAAGCACAGAAAAATACTGATTAGAGCGGCCGGCCGCTAAATGTCTCCTCCAGACAGTGGTTGAATCCTCTTCAACTGTATTCCTAATGACGAAAAATTATCAATTTTTGGTATTGGAACCTTACACTTAATGAAGGAGATTACACTTACCAAACGTTACAATTAACGAACCTTACACTTAACTTAACAGGACCTCTCACTTAACGAAGCTGCAGAGGCAACTTTCTTGCCCCTGTGCCATCGCAGCGGCGGATTATGCTAGGTTTGATGATGTTAGTTTAGGTTGGTGCCCATAGTGTTGCGTATTGAATTTTTTTGCTGTTAAGGAACGCGTTTAATAGAGGAAGGTTAAAATATTAAAGAGGTTAGCTTTGAAAGATTAAATCACTGTCATACACAGCGGAAGATAAAAAGAAATGAGAGCGAAGATAAATTATTTTAGAGGCAGAAAAATGGTGTTGCCCTAAAGGAAATTAAATATAGACAATGAAACCAAAAGTGGTCGCTTCACTGCATTTTTAATTTTAATTTCATACATTTAAATTATGGTAGAGTGTTTTTATTAACATGATATTTTTGAATATTTATGACTATTTTCTTTGATTTTATTTTTACATCCAATTTCATATCAGAGCCAAACGGGAGGTACAGTAATATTATGCAACTCAAATATGAAATAATAATGTAATTTAGTTTTGGGATCAAGCTGCTAGTTGCTTATGACAAGTTTCAAAACAGAAGTGTTTTTCATTTCCTTCTAAAAAAATCTCTAATAATGTGCTGTCATAATGTATTAAATGACAATTATTTTATTTCGAGCATTTTCTAAGTTTTATAGACTCGTCTGTCCGCTTTCCCCCTTCGTCATGGTTGTTGTCCTCAGCCTTGTTGTACCAACAGGCGTTTTATTCTTTGCATCGCCGCGAACAACACACCATCAATACGCCCACAGGTTTGAAATGTGTGTACCCGTTTATCGCAAACGAATCGCGCGCCACCGACAAAGCGCTGGAGACGCAGCGCTAGCCTGCGCGGCGACTCACCTGCGAGCGTGGGGTAGAGGCGGTAGCCGAAGTAGCAGCGCCAGGGCTCGTGCGCGTGCGCGCGGCGGCAGGGCTCGGGCACGCGGCCGCGCCACAGCGCGTGGCCCCGGCGCGCGGCCTCGGCCGGCGCGGGCCGCAGCGGCGACGGCGCGAACAGCGCGCGGTCCAGGAACCACCCCGAGTCCGCCACGCCGCGCACCTGCACGCGCCGCAGCCCCGCGCCGCGCAGCTGCGCCGCCACCGCGTCCACGTTCAGCAGCACGCCCGCCGCGCCCGCGCTGACGCACACACACGGCATGGGGTCAAGCAACGGCCTTGTAGGGTCTAAAAGCTTAGAATTTTAGCTTCTAAAAATTACACACACACACACGGCTTGGGGTTAAGCAACGGCCTTGTAGGGTCTAAAAGCTTAGAATTTTAGCTTCTAAAAATTACACACACACAACTGCCTTGTAGGGTCTAAAAGCTAAGAGTTTAGCTTCTAAAAAATCACACACACACACACACAACCACATGTCATTGAGTTAAGCAATGTCCTTTTAGAGCCTAAAAGTTTCGAATGTTAAGCATTGGGTTCTAAAATCTAAAATATCCTTTCGATAGATTAATAAGGTTCATTTGTGGCGTCAACTCAGTAATGCCAAAGTTGTTGCCACCTGCGAGATTAGAAGGACAGGAACTGACTGCCGCGTCCATGTTCAGCTGCATGCCTGCCGCGCCCGCGCTGACACACACACACACACACACACACACACACACACACACACACACACACATTAAAGTTAAGCAACGACCTTTTAGGGTCTAAAAGCTTAGAACTTTAGTTTCTAAAAATCACACTCACACACACACACACACACACGTCATGGATTTAAGCAAGGGTCTTATGGGGTATAAAATCTTCGAATGTTAAGCACTGGCTTCTAAAGTCTAAAATCTCATTTCGAAAGATTAATGAGGTTCTGTTGTGGCGTCAACTCTGTAATGCCAAGATAGTTGCCATCTGTGATTCTCACACATACGCTATCACACACATACCATGGAGTTAAGCAACGGTGTTAAAAAACGTTTCAAACCAACCAACCAACGTTTTCAAAACATGTACTGATGCAATAAAACTTAACATAACAAACTAATTCCACTAACAGCTGTCACGATCGAGCGAGCAGGGAAGCCAGGCGAGGGGACGGGGCGGCGTTACCTGCTGCCGGCGAGGAGAAGCGAGTCGGCGGCGCGCAGCGAGGGCAGCAGCGCGGCGACGACGGCGCGCAGCACAGCGCCGCCCAGGAAGCGGAAGGGCACGCCCGGCGCGGGCTCCAGGCGCCAGCCCGCCCACGTGTCGCTCGTGCAGTACGGCAGCAGCCTGCGCACCCCACCACCCGCACAGCGCGCGTCAGGTTCTCGGACGCTGCTCAAACGGCCTTCGTTTCTTTGCGAACGTGTGCGTGCAGTAGGGCAATTTAAAGCAAGCAAAGTTACTTATTTTTCAATGACACGTTATTGTCTCCCATTCCTCGATATACGCTGCGTAACCCACGTGAATAGATAGGATCGTGGTGACGGCGTAAAAATGGAAACAGTTGAATGACGCTACATGGTCTCTTATGGACTGAATTTTGAGAGCATTTGTATTGTAAAGCTGTCATTATGGTGTTAACTATTGCGATAAATAAAAAAAAAATATGAAAGGAATCTTGGGAGGGAAATATGAAGAGACGAACACAAGTCCGAGTCAAGTTAAATTTTAGTTAATTAGTAAATAAATAAATCTGAATCATTAAAATTAGTTACAAATAAAATATTGTACTACGTATCATTGGCGTTAACTAGTTCTGATGATCTTAGGCGACCAAAGCCTTTGTAACACCCTTTGTACATAAATGTTATGTTATCTACAAGTACGGCTCATCATATTCACACACAGTTAGAAAAGTCTTTCAAATCAACTGATCTGAAATTTACAATAATTTTGGACCGTTAACAGCGTAATCCTGTGGCATGTAATGTTTAGCTTTTAGAACTTCAAATCTTCATTCAAAATTGCCATTTTTTCGCCACTAAAATTAATAATAAACAAAATAAATAGCAAAAACTAATTAAGTATTGGTGGTGGGCATTTGTAAAATAATGCACAAATAGTTTCAGGTTTACAATCTATTTCATACAAAATCAGAAATAAATTATCCTATTATTTTTGTTCCGACTTATCATGATATCTATGGAACATTTTTACGAAAGATACATTTTCGAAAATTATGCTGGAAATAACATAAAATATATTGAGAAGAAGGAGTGGTGGGAGAGTATAACATTAAATACATTCCACGATGTATTACAGAAGCTAAAGGAACTTTTAACACGAATTATAATAATTTTCTGTACGATAAGAGTTTCTTTGCCGGTCTCGAAGACCCTAGCATACTTAAAGAACTACTGGGGTACATGGTGGCTCTTGAGGAGCTAAGACCTTCATGCGACTGTGCTTACGCTACAAGGACCGTCTGTGGCTGGACTCCGATACTGACGCAGCGTTACGCGCGGGTGTCGTGCGGGTTGTCGTTCGCGTTCTCTGCAGGCGCTCCCGGTGTGCTCGCACCGACAGGCAGAGGGACAGTCGCTGCCACGTCAAGTTGAAAAGCTGATCACACTAATATCCCCACAACCTTTCTAGACTGATGGCTTGGAGAAATGTGCATAGAGTATGGGTATTCACGCACGCATTCATTTCATATTGTGTATTCACTTTTTGTTTTGCATGTAATATTCCCTTTGTAGTAAATGCTACATTTCGATTCAAACTTTAAAGGAATTGACAGCTACCAAGTTACGAAAGAAAGGGGCTCCATTACCCAATCGGAAGCTGGAATTTATGATTTCACAACCGAGTTGCCAAGGTTCATCGAAAAACGTATACTTCTGTACCGGGTGAGTCAGTGGTAGTTGAAAGACACAATGCACGTCGCTCTTTTCATAGATTATTGTATCCTTTTGAGTTATCTGCTGTTCTGTTGTTTTCGTAGCATTGTTTGTTTTTTGGTGTGTGTAAATTTTTTTGTTAACGATGCTACTGCTGTTACTCATGAAGCGTCATTGTTGTTGTGGTGTGTATTTTATTATTATGCACAATAATGCGAATTTCGTATGTACAATCGCCATTACTTCCTTCCCTATAGTTACTTGTTGTCTTATATCATAAAATATGGATGAATAATAACTATCATAATGAGAAACTAATTTGTCACAACTGAAGGATCACGAGCGTGTCGTGCCTGCGGCCTGCACTGGGCACCGCAACCACGTGTATGCCGCGCGACTGCTTGGCAACACCGCGTCCCACACTCTCTCCTGCCAATCCCTTAGATATTTTTATTGGACCTTAATAAGCGAAGAAGCTGTTGACGCGGCCCTTCACTTGCGCGAGGAGGCGACTGTAGACGGGTCCCCGGCCGCGCTGCGCGGGGCGCGAAGAAGGAAGCCGCGCATTACGAATTCCACTTTCTCCCGGCGGACACGTGGGTGGGTGAACGGGGCCCTCTCAACCCTCGAGGGGAAGTCGCTGGAGTGCTGTTGGTTTCAAGGCAATTCAGATTTGGAGTTCTATCAAAAGCCCTCCTCTTTCATTTACCTTAATTGATTGAAAGATTAACGACCTTTCTGTTAATATTATTTTAGTAATACTGTACTGTTATATCGTTATAACGTTACCAGCAACCGACTAGGGGTACTAAAAGCCACTTTTAGAAGACGTTGTTTGTTGAAGAATTTAACATCTAAGTAATACGAAATATGAATATACGAATATAATGTAATAATTTACATAGTATGGAGAAAGTTATATAATGGGAAAAAAGGTATTTTTCGACACAAAAAAATCGTATTGTGTCGGAGCCCTGATAACGAAAAAGTAAATAAACATTCTTCCAATAGTTATATGTTACTTCTAACTTTTTGCTGCTCCTTGAAAAGCAAACAAAACACAAAAAAAATAATAATTCATGTGTCCCTATGTCCTTTCATCCTGAGAGAACCACAACTGCATCTAAACTGCTCGCAGAAATTGCCTAAATGAAGACCTATCGATATGGGCTGGATCACGGCCTTGCGGATTTGAAACGTATTATTTGAATTTTGGGGGTACCTTAAATAAAGCTCATAGATAACTTTCAACAATTATTTAAAATTTTGTCTTTAAATTTTTTGTACACATTGAATGAAATATACACATAAGGATAGCATAGGTCGACTGTCACTATTAACTCTAAATTTTAAAAAATTGTAAAAGTTTGAAATAATGTGTGTAATAAAGAATGTGCTGTTGACAAAACGCAAGTTATTTTTAATATAAATAAACTAATTTGTGCTCATGTGTTCTCTGAACTTAATTTGCGATTTTTTTCTAGAAAATATTTCACTTTATTCTTCTAATGTTGAATTACGGTGAAAATCGAATTTATATTTATTTACAAGATACAATTCAAGTTTGCATTTTAAGATACAATGCCAACAAATGAGCAGTACTTTATGAAAATAAAATTATCCACAAAACATATACACAATGACATACGTCCGGCGCCGAATCTTAGGAAAAGGTCAGAAAAAATATTTTTGTTGACATTTATTGAAAAGAAACGGCTGCTTAGAGGATGATAATATACATTGCGAAAGAAATGACATCAGGTTAGATTGTTTTAACTCTTTCTTGAATCGGAAAACTAGCTAAAACGTAATGTGTATCACGGTGGTATTCACTAATTGGAGCGTGAAGTAATTAAATCAGTTACCTTTTACTCATATAAGTACTTATTTCACTTTGCATAATTTTTACAATAACAATTTTAAATTAACTTTTTGTCAATTGTTCTGGAATTGTCTCGTCTTATTTCAATAAATTTGCGAGTATTTGACTCTCAACTAATTGCACCAGCATTACACTTTCATGTAATTGTTTTAAACTCTCAGTCTGTTGTTATTGTTTTCCTGGAATTTGTTCAATCGTCTGAAAATTTATGCGTTATGTGGGAAGATTAGACTGACAATGAATTGGAAATAAAACCAACATTAATAATAATAAAATAGTAACTTTTGTACATTTCCAAATACATACTCATACTCACACATGATTAGCATCCCACCAATGGGGGTTCTCACGCGGGCTGGCTGACAGTAGGCCTCCGACTGCGACAGAGCAAAGGCATGTGATAATGACCAATGTACTGTGATGAATTTAAAAATAAAGAGAACAAAGACCAAAAGCAGTACATCAATTACTTTACGTTATGTTTCTAACTTAAAAGTATGCATTAGTTTATAAATAATTAAATGGCCTCAAAAATAACTTTCTCTAATAATGATAAAATTACTTTTATATTTGTTAGTATTGACAGATTCCTCACTTTATTAATTTATGAACCAATGTAAAAAAATTAGATACAGATTGCTTGACTTACGAAAGTAATAGAAATAAGAATATGAAATATTGAGTTTAAGCACAATTTCGTAGTAGCTGAGTCACAAAAATAGGCGACAATTGCTCATAGGAATATAAAACTAAAGAAATTTATTAATTATTAAAATATAGTAATTTCAATCACACAATGGGTTAACTTCTAGACTTATTCGAGTAGAAAACGTGATTTTCAAAAAAAGGAACTTCGCTAAAACGAAACTCCCAACAAGGCATCTTGGGGCTACGTGCAGGTTCGTCCAGAGGGTGGGGCAGCTGAGGTAACTGGCCCATGCCCGCTCATAAGTGGGGACCCGAACATTTATACAAAATATATTTCCTTTAATACACTTTTTGAAAAAATATTTAACTATACTTGAAACACGATTAACTTTAAATATATTAACAGTCAGTGATAACAATAAACAAGTGGATCTTTGTTTGGGGAATAAAGGGCTCTGATGGGTCTACTGTGTTTCCTGTGGGCGCCCCTGGCTGCGTTCGAACCAAAGGCGCATCGAGGCGAGTACCTACCGCTGCGCGCCTTGGGCCACTGCGAGGACGACATGAGGTGGCGCAGGCGCGCCCAGCGGTTGGCGCAGCTGCCGCGGTCGTAGCAGTACCAGCCACCTGCGCACACCGCGCTGGGTCAGAAAAGCTTCAACAAGTGCGCAACGTTCTGCTCTTTCTGAATTGCATTCTACGTTTGCAAATAATCAACATGTGGTCTTTTTAATCCATATGTATCTACTCTTCAACTATACAGACGCTTTTGGATTTGACTCTCGTACATACGCATACACATTTGAAGTGTGTACTGCGACGATAATCTGCTTGAAAGTGACAATTTTTGTAACGAATAGATGCAAACAAATAGTTTTCGAATATTAAAGATAATTGAAGGCTCTGAAGATCATCAAAGTTTAGAATACTTGTTAATTGTTTACATCGTTTATAGGTAATGATATTACATTTAAGGATTGAGGTACTTCCTAAAACTGTATTGCACTTGCTTCTTGATTTGAAGCACTGTGTAACTCACGTCCGGAATTATGAATAAGGAAACCAAGCGATTGTTACTATCTCCTCTGCTACGATCTTACATAGTAAAGAAAAAGTATTACGACTATACAGCTGAAAGTGACGATCTTTCGTTAGAAAAACTGTTATTGAGGGGTTCTGAAAAGTGGATTAATATTGTTCCGATATGCAGTAAACCTCTTCGTCTAAAGTGTTGTTCCGGAAACTTTGTTTTGTAGGTCCTTGATACCAAAAAATTGGTTTATGGCAAAACATCTGTCTCTGTCTATCTGCTCGTCCGTCTATCCGTCCGTCTGACACTCTCGTCTGAAGAGTTAAATTAAATTTGATATTCTCCGTTCTTTTTGAACGAAGGCTCTCAAGGCGCTGCACATTTGAAACGGATACTTCTATTTTTGGCAGTACATTACATGAAGCCTAAACAACATATTCAGTTTTCACAAAAATAGGTCCTCATTTTTGGATTAGTTTGTCTCGGAGAGACCAAAGAGAGTTTTAATAATGGCAAAGGTCTCGGTTTTGTTAAACGTTTTTTTCGAATGCTGCAGATGGGCAACTTTTTTTTGGCGTCTTCCTATAGCTATAATATTGCAGATTGATTTTTTCTTACGAAATATGATCCTTAAACGCATTTTTGAATTAAGTCATGAACAATTTTTTGAAAGCATTTGTAGTTTTTGCGTGATATTGCGCAAAATATAGGCAATTAAAAAAATCGGAAACTGCTGTAATGTTCTTTTTATTTTGTTTCTCGAGTAGAGCAAAGCACACTTAGGTACAAGTCCCATTTTTGGTGAAATATTGGTAATTTTTAAACTTAAAAAAAAAGTAATAGTAAAATTACAGTATCGATGATAAAAAATTCTCAATGGAATGTCTTTCAAAAAATTAGTTCTACAAATAAGGTCTGTAATAATAAATGTAATTAATCTGCAAATTATGAGTAGCGTTTGCGTAATGTTTGTTTGACGGCAGTTTTCAAAGAAATACTTTCTCAAAAACGGCTTCAAATTTGGTCTTGAATGTTTTTCTCGAATAGAGAAAAGTATGCCCATAATTGCACCGAGTCAATTTTTGTTGAGTTCATTGAATTTTTGAAAATTGAAAAGGTTTCAAATTGTGCGAGAAAGTATGTACTGTTGTAGTTGCCCTAGTCCAGTTTGCTGTGCAGCAAGAGAGAATGTCAAGACATTTCCTAGCAGAGTTACAAGATGAGATAAATAAAACGTTGAAGTTTGACTACTTTTCGAGATCTTTGTGGAAGACCTTAGAGCAACTTCGTCTTCGTTCACTGGCAACAGGAATGGCAGAGACTAGTTACGAAAGATAAAAATTATTTAAATGACTATCAAAAGAGTTTTCCGTTAATAAATGGACTTTTTAGACTGAAGTATTTGAATTCTCACTGATGGATTTTAGAAAACGTTGTAAACTTAAAGTATTAACCCGTTATTTAGAATGTATGATAATAAACACAGTGTACATTTTAATGCTAGAAGAAAAGTGGCGGGTGTTCATTTTTGAGCAATAAATTGCACAGTTGTTAATAAGAAGCGGATTAAATTTAAGGTTGAACGTTAAAATAACTTTTGGGTAGTTGTAAATGGGAATATGCTGTAGCTGTAATCGTAATACATCATATTTAGATGCGCGATTAAGTTTATTTGCAGGGACACTTTCTACGTTCGTAAAAAGAATCAACCGAATTCTGTCGAATATTTATTTATGAGTTATAAACAGAGACCATTCATCTTGAATATTATAATTTAGGGACTATTTATTTATTTATTTATTTATTTATTTATTTATCTTTTATTTTATTTATTTTATTTTATTTATTTATTTTATTTTTTATTTATTTTATTTTAATTTATTTATTTACTTTATTTATTTATTTATTTATTATTTTATTTACTTTAATTTATTTATTTATTTATTATTTATTTATTTTATTTTATTTTTTATTTTTATTTTTTATTTTAATTTTATTATTTATTTATTTATTTATTTATTTATTTATTTATATTATTAACGTCAAAAACAGTTAAAACTGTGTGTGACTTCTAGAAATTATTCACACAAGTCTTTTATCCTCACCTTCAAGGAAGAGAATCCATCGCCGACTGCCGGGAGACTCACGGACGTAGTACCTGAACACACGTTTCAAGGGAGTTAAAGCCTGAGTGCGATCTGAAAATAGGTGATTTGTTATTCTGCGTTGTTCAGATCATTGGTATATTTTTATTACATAATGGTTGTTTTAACTATATTTAGATAAAAGTGTAGCCAATCTAATATTAATATTCGTAAGAAATATAACAAAGTAAAATGAATTAAATCTAATATATATTTAGATAAGTAGTTTACCAAAGTAGCATTTCCTAATTTGACTAGTTTACAAAACACATGAAAATGTATGTAGTTAGAGAGAAAAACTTTAAATTTTGTATTTTTACCCTTAACTTTTTATATCTCTTAATTTTTTACATTTTATCTCTAAATTTAGTCATCACTACATTACACTTAAACAAAATTGAACGCTAAAACTTAGTATATTATTTCATTGAACTTGATATCACTTAATTTTTATAAATGTTCTACACAACGATCCGAAAGTCATAATTAACATTTCAATTTTTTAAAAATTAAATACGAATATATGTACAGATGTCCAGAAGTTTCCGTCACAAAAAATACCCCAGATTCTGTGCTGACGTTCAGGAAGAATGGCAGGTCCAGTATCTCCGAAAAAAAAAATTCTTCGATAAAATTGAGTTTTAAAGTTACTTCCGGTGGTGAAATTCAAACCCGCTGTCGCAAGACACCAGACACCAACACGACGTCTGCCAATGGGGCTGGGCGTGGTCTCGTTTCTTTGCGTTTTCTCTGAAAATGTCCCGTGAGGTAAATGGCTTGCCACTCATTTTAACAGCACCAAGTGTTTTATGTGTATTATTCATGTAATCTATTAAATGTACTAAATTGTTCGGAGAAACTGGACCTGCCATTCTTCCTGAACGTCAACACAGATTTTGGGGTATTTTTTCTATCGGGAGCTTTTGAACACCTGTATGTAATTTATATCAGGAAACATTATTTGATCTCACTTTGTTCAACAATTTAGCCAGAAAAAATATAATTGAATAATCTAGTACGTTACATTTTTGCATTGTAGATCGTGTTCCGAGAAACAATCTTGACGTCACTATTTTATTACATGCTTTGTTACTGATTCTTAACGTCAAATAATTTGAATTTCAAATTCGTAAATACCACCAGAATTAAATATTGCCTTTGGATGTACTTAAATGAGGGGCGTTCCTTTTCTGTGAAACACAGGTTAAGAGTGTTACTGATCATTTTCTTCATCATTCTACCACTTTTCTGAGGATTTAAAGACCTATTCATTAGTATTATTCGAATAGACACTTAGGCTACATACAGTGAAATACCACTCTTAACCCTCACACACGGGTTCGGGGTATGGTTCAAAAAGAGTCGGATAATGAGATGAGAGGAACAATAAAAAAGTATGAAGTCGCAAAGAAATGAGTACATTCATTATATAATATCGATATATTTATATTCCATATTACGTATTGCTAATATTGTTGTACCCACAATATGCAGGGCGCCAGGAAAGCCTCCGCAGTGGCACTTGCTGGTGACAGTTCTGTCCTCTCCTAAGGCTCAACAGCCCGCTACGGGCCTTGGCCGACCAGCAACGACCCTGCCTCTCGGCCTTGGGATAAGGAGTTCTTGTGGTTAGCACAAAGACATCCCTTCACCGTGTATTGTAGTCTTCATAACCTTAAGGTGGGCTTTCTCATCAACACACAGCAATGGAAACCGGGACATTACCCAGGAAAGTGCACAGTTATTATTTCACCCGGGAATCGAACACGGGGTTGCGATATGGAAAGCGAGCACGATATTCAACGAGCCACCAAGGGAGAGTGGTGAGAGTTTTGGCCACAGAAATTATGTTTGTAGCACGCACTACAGCTTGTAACAAAAGAAAGCGTAAATTACGTATTCACTACAATCATAACAGATGTTGGAAGTATTGATCCTGAGATGGTAGCTACCAACAGAAATGCAATTTTTAGTAGGAGACCCGGACTGGGCTCGAGGTGGAGACTTTCCTGGCCCACGAATAATACTTTCAATACGTATCATACGTATATTATATTGAAGTACTACAAGAATGTGCAATGGTAGGCATCGAGGAGTCGAGAATTTGAGGGAAAGAGATGGGAAAGGGGATATGATATCTCGTGGACGGATATGATAGAGCAAAGGGACTTAAAGGGAAAACTCGAACGCTTGAATATTTTTCATTCTATAGTAAATATACAATGTATACATTTAGAAGATAGTAAGTATTTTCATTATGGGTTTCGAGTAAAAGTTGAAATTCTGAACGTTTTAATGGAATTCATAATTGCTCATAATGGCCGTTTTCACTACTAAAATGTTAGTGAGAAATATTTGGAAAATGGAAGAACGGAACTTAGTGTCGTCTAAAATGAACTTGAAAATTCTGTAGATCTCATTTCCGTTGATGACCGTTTTCAAAGAAATCGTCTCGTGTGTACGATTTTCGTGTCCTCACTTAGTAACTAATATTTATAGCTCAGTGTCATTGAAAAATTGCTTCTACATTCAAGCGAAACGAATACACTTCCGGTGGGTAATATCATGGGTGGGAGGTAGGTCATGTAATTTTTTATTGTTATTACGTTTTCAAAAAAAAACATGACAACGGTATGAAGTTTATTCAACATGTTTAATATATAATTATCTAAACACATTAATAATTCAATTATAAATATTTTTTACTCACCAGCAACAGAAGGGATCCGTTTTTTCATTGCCTCTACAACTGTTTCTAAACTTTTCGGGTTTTTATTATCATTTTTAGAGATTAAATTCGATGTACTAGAATGCTACTGCGTGGTCCTCTTTCGCGCTTGACTGAAAGATTAATCAGGTTTGTCAGTCTCTCATTTACCTCGAAATCTTCGAACAATGAATCGGTCCATTGTCGGTTCTTTTGGATACAATGGGATACAGCCAGCTCGCCATATACATATTGAGTGAGGCCACAACTGCTCATCGCTCCCGAAGTTTGAATATTGAATAATGTTTTTGATTGATTTCGAAAATATTTTTTCCACCAGATTGATAGGGGTAATAAATGTGTTAAATTCGATTTTTTTCAATTTTTTTCCACGTGGGTCATTACCCACCCGGAGTATTTTCGTGTGGGTACGCTACCCATCGTACTAGTCTCTTCCCCCGGCCCTGTCATTGACACGCTTCAATACATTCGGCTAGTGAAGAAAATAAAGTTTATTTTCTTCACTAGCCAAATGTATATTAGAATAATATTACAATACTTATATATTAGAATAATGGTGACTCAGCTATTTACTGATAATTATTAAATCTTATGAAATGCGCGTTAATTTGTTTCACTCAGTAAAATACTTTTACCTTTAACTATTGTAATACTAAAAAGTATTTGATAACTGCAAATAATTTATGGAAGCAAAGGCTTAGGAACTGTTTCATATTGTGTGTTATATTTACTTACTATTACACTAATTTTATATTCATTTTTCAGTTTTCAATTTTTTTTATAAATTAAACAGCGAATTAAATTTACATCATAATTAGAATACATCATTTGGAAGTTCTGAAGATGCACGAAAAATTTTCATGAACTCGCGCGGATAGCAAACAAATATCAAATTATTGCACTATTGGTACTGTTTGGGTTTCCGATTTAGTTACTCCATTCCTGAACAGCAATGTACTCTTTGATAGAGAACTATTTTCTGAAGAAATGTTATATGCTGAGTGTGATTTCAAGCTTTGGTGATGTGTGTTACCTCTTTTCTATCTTCTTTCTTATAAAATGACTCCTCCGTACGAGATGTCGCTCATTTGCAGGCAGAAGTCCAGATAGTTCTGGGAGAAGTCACTAGATAACGCGCTAGTGGCTTGCCAGCCAAATCTCGCTGATCCGTTGAATCGATTTGTGAATGAAATACAATATCAACTCGTTTCCATCTGGTTTTCAGAGACCTCAATGTTCACAAAGTGTTTTAGACATGACATTTTTAATATCTTGAAAAGTAACACAATTAGAATAATGTTAGGAAACGTCTCAGAGAATTATTAAATAAATGCAAAAATTTCAGGTCGCGAGATGGACTAACGAAATTTTTCATTCAGTAACCACCAGTGATGAGTTATACATTAATAATTTTAAATGACAAGTAAATATTGTCTTTATTGTTGCTTTTAATTTATTGGTTCCTATATCTACATCTAAAAGTGATGTCATTAACTTTAATTTGGATTTTTGTCGTTGTCCTGCGGTGACGTGTCTTCATGTGGAGGAAGTACGCACGTAGAAAATCATTATCTTAGAACCGCAAATGCTTTATTGTTTTCCAAAATAATAAACGCTTTTTTTCGTTATAAGAAATCGTTCATAAAATGACATTTTATGGCATAGTTTATGACGTATTTGCCGTTTTTTGGCACGAATAATTGCGTTCATTCAGCCAATCGCAGCGAGAGGATTGTGGGAAACGGAACAGCCAACCTCCGTTTTTTAACACGTTAAATAGCCATAACACAATAAAGTTGTTTTCAAAATTAACTATGATTCTCTTATAAATTTATACTGTTATTAAACGAAAAGTAATGTATGCAACTCGTTTATAATGCTGGTTTATTACATTCGTTCAAATTTGAAAATTCGTCCCTAATGTCGCTCGTTTTCAAAACAATTACTCATGCACTAAGCTTAACATTATAAACTAGTTGCGTAATTTACTACATGTTTACATTTGCGTATACCCGACCAGCACTCCCTCCCGGAATTAACGTTGTTCACAGGAAGTGGCTAAATCATTTGAAACCTCTGACAAAGCCACGATCAAATACAATTGCAATTTTGGGAAAGTGGTAATAAAATCCGTTTGGAAACAGATTGTTTTCGCACGGGGCTTTACAGATGATTTTAAGATTTTTGGAAGGCTCGATTAGTGGATAATCTTTAAGCTTTTCCAGGTAGTGATAATCTGTTGGTCACGTGTGACAGTGGTCCAAGATGGAGTTTCAGTTTGTCAAC